AACTTTACAGTCTCCTAAAATACGTATCCTGTCCGACGGCAAAAGAGGCTGCAGATTTAGTTTTTCTGCGCGTCGACGGGATGTCTGCGACGCGAAAGTTCAGCTCGCGTTATTTGGCTCGCACGTCGAAAAAATCAACGCGAGTGACCTGCTGCTCACGTCGAAATTTGGACATTACATAACTTTACAGTCTCCTATATAAATACGTATCCTGTTCGACGGCAAAAGAGGCTGCAGATTTTGTTTTTCTGCGCGTCGACGGGATGTCTGTCCTGACGTTTACTGGGACCGGCGCTGACTCTGCCGATCACGGCGTTCTGGACTCGACGGGATGTCTATCCTGACGTTTCCTGGGACCGGCTTAGACTCTGCCGATCACGGGCGTTCTGGACTCAACGGGATGTCTGTCCTGACGTTGCCTGGTACCGCCGCACTCTACCGACCACGGGCGTTCTGGAGTCGACGGGATCTCTCTTCCGACGTTTCCTGTGACCGGCACTGAATCGCTCGTTCACGCTTATTTTGGAGACGACGGGATCTCCCTTCCAAAGTATGTTTATGCTGACGCATCCTATCACCTTATCGGCGTCTATTCTAATTTAATTTCCTCCTCGTCTCCCTATTTCTTTCCAAATCCCACTCTACATCAGGGAGTCGTATGCATAATACGACGAATATTGGTACGGTACGGGACAGATACAGGAGCCCGCAAATATTGTGGACAGCTGTTATGTACAATCCTGTAGAGCCTTTGAAGTCACAGATACGGGACAGATACGGGACAGATACGGGATAGCGCCAGGCGTGACACAAACAAACAAACAAACACACAAACAAACAAATACCAAATTAAAGCTGTGTGGACCCTGGCTAGCGCCAGACGTTACTGAAGTAACGTCTTCTGCATAGCTACGGGAATTAAAGCTGTGTGGACCCTGGCTAGCGCCAGACGTTACTGAAGTAACGTCTTCTGCATAGCTACGGGAATTAAAGCTGTGTGGACCCTGGCTAGCGCCAGACGTTACTGAAGTAACGTCTTCTGCATAGCTACGGGAATTAAAGCTGTGTGGACCCTGGCTAGCGCCAGACGTTACTGAAGTAACGTCTTCTGCATAGCTACGGGAATAATTTTTTTTCGTAATGAGAGTGTGCAGTTCCTTGTTTTTTACGTGTGTTGTTCGCCACGATCGCCCAACGGAAAAGGGGCAGAATGGCAAGGATCGACTTTCGTATCCTAGATAACAAAGGTCTTGAAGTCTTGGCACTTGTCATGGGCTGTTCTAAGCCGTCCACCTTGTGCGATCGATTAATGGGATAAACACTCTGCCACTATTTTCTACAGTGAGACAGGTTGAAAAATATGGTGGTAAAGACACACCTGGCAATATTTATTTATTTATTTATTCAACATCTCCTGGCCCGTCCGAAGACTGCCAATAAACATGAGAGGTCAGGTGATAGCCAACCACGGCAAGCTAAAAGGGAGAAAAAGAAAGATGCTGTCAGAGAGGGAAAGGAGATAGGGAGAGAAAAAGAAAGGGAGGCACATTAGTAATACATGGGATCACTTCGGATGAGACAGTGTGGAAAGCTGGACTTTGAATTTCCTGATATCCTGGCATGTCTTAATGCTAGTAGGCAGGTTAGACCAAAGGGAGTATGCTGAGAAGAAAGGGGATTTCAAAAACAGAGAGGAACTAGCTCGGGGCAGTGATAAGGCATTGCGTGTTGGTCTAGTGGTAACAAACCAGTTGTACTTGGCAATATGTTTCGGGACTTGGGCTAGGAAGATTTTTTGCACAAGGATACAAAGATGCTGCTGATGTCGGGCAAGAAGAGGGTGCGTGGAAGCAAGTTTATAAAGACAAAGGGAGGCAAATGTTTGGTCTTTTCGAAACAGAATTTTCAGAAGCAAGCGTTGATGTACTTCCAAATATGGCGGTAAACACACGCCTGCCCACACACGCTCTCTAGGCTGCAAAGTTCTGGCACAGAGCTCTCCTTCTCACCACCACCACCATCAGTTCGCGCCTGGCGCCTGGTCGATGCGTGGCTGGCGGTACCCGGCATAGCAGGCTGGTACATCAAGTAGCGCATGGCACATAGATGATGACACATTAACGACATAGCTCGATTGCGACGTACGTTTCGTCCCCGCAGGACTCATCAGGCAATCTTCTTCTTGGATGTCTTCATACGGAGGTTGACTCGGGAGAATGAAATTGAAGACACCACTGCAGCTGTACTTATGTTTGATAAATATAGTGAGACAGGTGTTGAGGGAAAAGAAAGAGCCAATGTGCACGTTCAAGTACGGCCTTTAAAGGTAACAGTGCTGTGTTGGCGTGTTTGAATATCTGGTTTCTTGTACATGTACTATCTCCGAGTACGTATTACAAGTTATCTATACAGGTTCGATTCCTGGAACGCATATGAATTATCATTTGGAGACTTTTTTTCCTAACGAGAGAGCTTGGAAGCTCAGGGCCCTACGCTATGCTTTTTTGCCTTGATGACCTAGACAAAAAAAAAGCATAGGGATGTTATAAATTCTTTAAAAAATTCCTTTTTTTAGACATAACCTGGGATTCGAACCCGCACTATAGCGCGCCCTGCATTCATCCCCCGATGCACTTCGCATACATACTAATTCTTCCAAGTTGTTTCACATTGTGATCTTGCATTTGAAAGCCCTATTTGAGTTATATGCATTGTGGCCAGCCGTCTTTGATGGCACGGTACGGTAGGGGATAGGGACGGGACAGGTACGATCGAGGGTAATACGACACCGTCTCCCGTACCGTACCGTACCATCAAACACAGCTGGCCACATACAGCTTCCCGCAATATTCAAATAGGGCTTTCAAACGCAAGATAATAACGTAACGCAACTTGGAAGAATGGGTATGAATGCGAAGTGTATGGGGGAATGCATGTAGGGCGATAGTGCGGGTTCGAATCCCAGGATATGCCTGAAAAAAAGGAGAATTGAAAAATTTATAACATCCTATGCTTTTTTGCCGTCAGATACGGATAGCGCCAGGCGTGACACAAACAAACAAACACACAAACAAACACCAAATTAAAGCTGTGTGGACCCTGGCTAGCGCCAGACGTTACTGAAGTAACGTCTTCTGCATAGCTACGGGAATAATATTACATACTACCATGTCATTGGTAGTGATATTTAGTCAAGAAGGCAAGAATGGTCAGATTTTCTAAAATGCTATTTTCAGAATTGGCCTAAAAATACCATATTTCGATACCTATATTGTTTGGTAGGGGCCTAAAGTGCCTGGTGACACCATCAAAACTGTCCATTATCGGTTTCCTTGGGGCTCAAGGATCACCGAGAAAGCCACAAAAATCAATATGTCCATGGACAAAATGTTGCAGGCTGAACCATTTCACAATTCAGCACCTGATGGAAATTTCGGTTCCCGTAATTTCGAAAAAGTGGCTCGCCAAGGGCAAAACCAAGACACAGTCTATCTTGTGTAGCCAAAATACCTCCAAATGTGGTTCTTAAACATATGATGAAGAAAATGCTTAGTATCCTCCTTCCAGGAGGCTTCTTTGGGTCAAAAACCAAATTTTTTTACCATTTTTTTTGCCGAAAATCAAGAAATTGTACACTCACTAAATACACCAGAATACCTCTTATATGCCTGGTGACCCTACCTAAAAACTATACCAAATTGAAGAAGAGACATCACTCCACCATTCTATGCATAAAAAACAGGGTGTCCATGGACCTTTTATTTTTACTTCTTTAGGTGGGAGCCTCCTTAACACGAAGCCAGGTTTTTGAAAAATGTAAGTCGTGTATCTGCCCCATTTCTTCTTTATGACTTGCACAATGGTCCAGTCTGCCAAAATAACACATTAAATTTTATAGCAGGGGTTATGTACCATATTAGAGAAGTACAGCCAGTGATATTGTCATATCTAAATACTACAATTTTGACACAAATTAGACATGACACGAAGCTGGTTTTTGAAAATTGTAAGTCGTGTATCTGCCCCATTTCTTCTTTATGACTTGCACAATACACCAGTCTTCCTAAACAACACATTTATAGCAGGGGTTAAGTCCCATACAAGAGAGCTACATTGTACATCTATGTCATACTGTCATAAACAGCCAGCATTTTTTCTGCAGCAGTCACACCACCATCATCATTATTTCCAGGGAAATCCTCTTACATTGTCAGCTCCTACGTCGTTAGATACAATGTAGGGGGCTGTGGGACCGGCTCGTCAAAGATAGAGAACCTGAACAAGCGTGCTCGGGACGTCTCAGCAATCGTAGTATGCCTGAGCACCCCAATAAAAACTTGATCAATGGCAAAATCGTTCCCCACAGAAAAATCATACTTTGCGGGTCTTGCGTTGCACGCTTGGAGGTGAAGTACAGAAGGCGAGTCGATCCAAGTACATGTACATGTATGACCTTTCGGACTGGACTGGACTGAACTATTCCAAAAATAACAACGAGGGGTCACGGGTGCGAGTCAACCCCTGTGACACGGATTTCTGCGCCGTGTCACCTCCCTAGTTTGAGTACGACTCCCTGCTGCGGACGAATCGTCCGCATGCTGGCAGGCGCCGGGTGTTACGATCTCCCGGATGAGAGGGACTACGCCGATCGCATATAACGGCATCGCAATGGGGTGGCCCTGTGTTGTGCCCTCACTGGAATGAATACATTCACCATCCACGTAGAGATTGCTGGGCTGAAAAAATAATTGGAGCTCACTGAGAACGTTTTACGTCACAGGGTGGGCGGGGGCCCCCTCGTGCCAAATATGGAAAATTGCAATTGGTAATTATTTAGGTATGTTATCCTTGTCGTATAGAGCTAGATCGAAGCTTCCAGTCATGACTCATTCTGAAAAAAATATGGCGAGGCGTCTTCACGGCTCAGCCCATGACTCAGCCGGCCTGGGCGAAAATCGACAAAACCAAAAGTCAAAACACTTCAAGCTTCGCTTGATCTGCTGTTACAAATGATGGAGGATTCCCTGCAAGGAAATCTATCGTGAACGTCGCGGGCTCTGTTCTTGCAGGGTCCCGCAGTCTGAACTAATTGTAGGTGTTTTATCGAAGTGAAAGAATGATCCCTCCACCACCTCCAGGTCCCCCGCCTGATTTGTCGAGTGGTGGACCTCCGCCACTTCCCGCAGATGCAGGAACGAGTTCTGGACCTCCAGCACCCCCACCAGCAGCTGCTCTTGAGGCTCCCAGTGCTCCTACAGCCTCTGAACCAGACGTGCTGGCTCCAGCCTCTGATGTGCGATCGTGGGAAAGGCCATGGAAGCCGGATGAGATGAGAGGCAATGTTGGAAATTGGACGCTGGCTGCAGATTCTGGTCTACTGCTGTATATAAAAGATTTTTCCAAACGTATGACCGAGCGTATTGCAGACATGACGACGCAAGTGGATGGCCTGGGGACGGAATCGAAGCGTACAGAGACTAGGCTACATAACTGTTTCAACGATTTCCTCATGTTATCCAGTGTTCAGTTTGTGGAGAATCGTGTGTACGACTTCGAGGAAACCAAGGAGGGTGATACAGTTTCTGGTACGGCTGAGGAGAAGCCAGAAGAGGCTCCTGCTGACAAAAGTGGCGAGAGTCAACCCGAGGAGGAGAAGACCAGAGAGCAGAGAGAGGCTGAACTGATACCTCGCATCACAGCCGCACTGAAGCTCGGTGTCGATGTCATGCAGAATTCTTTTGACAAGATCGAGCCAGCGCAGGAGAGTAGCAAGCAGAAAGATACTAGCGGTAACGGTGGTGAGGGGGATGATGACGATGATGACGACGATGAAGAGGAGGAGAAAGCCGAGATGGAGAACATGGAGGCAATCTTCGAGCCAAAAGATCCGTATGCTTTGCGCCCTCTGCCGTACGTGATTGGTTCAGTCCAGTTCTTGCAGAGTGACGACGTTGGATTGTTACTCGCTGAGTCGGATGAATCAGGATACGAAGATGAGGAGGAGGAGGAAGAGGAAGATGATAGTGAGGCAGAGGAGGAGAAGCCAACGGCGATTGTGTCGGACGACGGGTTTTCGGACGATCTGGACAAAGACTCGGACGACGATGATTCGGAGAGTGACGAGGATGGAGAGTCGAAACCTCGTCGAAGCCGTGCCACAAAGCCATTCGCTAGTGATGACTCGGACTCGGATGAAGATAGTGATGACTGGAGTGATGAGGGCAGTAGTAAGAAAGCGCCTGCCGCTCGCGGTGGTGGTGATGACGACGATGAAGACGTCCAAGAGGTAAGTTCCACCAAAAAACCTCTATGTTGTGTGTGTGTGTGTGTGTGTGTGTGCGCGCGTGCGTGTGTGTGTGTGTGTGTGCGCACGCGCTTGTGCATGCTCGAGCGCGCACGCGCACGTGTGTGTGTGTGTGTGTGTGTGTGTGTGTGTGCATGTATATGCGTGCGCGTGTGTGTGTGTAAGTTGCTATGGCTTCTGCTGTAGCATCGCTATCATCGCCTATGGCGATGGGCGTCAAATGGTCAATGGTGTGTGTGTGTGTGTGTGTGTGTGTACACGCGCGCTCGCGTGGCGTGAGGGGTCTGATCTCATCTGGACTACTGTATTTATCCATGGAGATCAAACAGCTAAAGAAGGAAGGCTGAATCAGCCACACGGACACCAGTTGTGAAACATACCAGATGCTCTGGCAGAGCATTTCAGACCAATTATTGTTTGTCAGGTCTAGCATGATAGGGAGGTTCCGCACACTACATGAAGCTGAGCAACGTTACGTACGTGGGCGGGAAATACCCGTGCATTGGCGAGTTTGCACTCCACTTACGGAAAGTTAATTACGTAGAGGTGCTCCGAAAGTGGATTTGGGTTTTAATTTATGACTCTCCCTAGGTCGCACATTGTCGCGTTTGGAGTTGCCAAGGGCAGCTACGTGATTCGATAACTGCGTATGGTTGAACACGAGTCCGCATGCAGTGCACATAAAACGTCCCGTAGATCCACTCCGTTTTTTACTAACGTAATTACGTTTTGTGAAACCTCTCTAATATATGTTAGGGCCGGGTTCCACTGCGGCTCCGCTGCTCGTCATCCACGGCTTGAAACGTCATCATTACCACAGTGACCGCGGCTCACCGCGAGCTTTCGCTACGATTCTTGATCAAAAACTGCGAGCCGCAGTCGCGGCTCGACCTGTTTCCCGTACTTTGCATTGTTTTGTATGCGAGAATTTTAAAATTCAAATTTTATTTCGTTGTGCAGGCCAGAACACGAGGTTTTTTCATTTCGCGCGCACGCGCTGACTCGCGCAGGCAGGTAAAACATAATCAAAAAACCGTGGAGCACGACCGCAAATGACGAGTGTCAGTGGAACCGCGCTGCTCCGCTGCATGCAGCCAAGTGCCGCGGAGCAGGGGAGCCGCTATGGAACCCGGCCCTAAGACAATATCCAACTCCTGGCTCTCTTTCTCTCTCTCTCTCTCTCTCTCTCTCTCTCTCTCTCTCTCTCTCTCCATGTGTGAGTGTTTTCGCGCACTTGCTTGTGAACCCGAGGGAAAGTTCAAGGCTTTACCTGTGAACAGTGACAATGTGGCCAATTTTGACTGGACGCGCATGCTGCCTGACGTGTAGCCAGTCAGATCTCTTTGTCTCTGGAATATTCAGAATCGGTGCATGTGTACAGTTTAAATTGTGTATTCGATTCCTTGACATTCGTCGTTTTCACTACGAAATCGAAACTTGCAGGGCAGATTTATAGGCCAAGTGTGCACGCTTCCAATGAAAGAATCTTGGAAATCGGCCAAGTAGACTTGATATCTATGTACAGTAAAACCTGTAAGTAAAGACCACCGACCGTGACTAGCGACCAACCTGGTACTACAGACCACTTTTTGCCAGGCACGGCCGGTCTCACATTCATTATTGCTGTGCGGTGCAAACCTCTAACTAAAGACCACCTGCCACTAAAGACCGCTCTCTCTGGCCCCAGGGGGTGGTCGTTAGTCACAGGTTTTACTGTACACTCAGATCTCTCTTATCCGGGCCGTCCGGGACCGGGCCCTGCCCAGAACCTGGGAAAACCTCTGACTCTGAATCACATGCATTTGAATGGGGAAGCTGCCAGAGATATTGCATATGACGTCACAATTTCCACCGAAAATGGCGAAAGAGTTCAATAAAACCTGGGCATACTGGGCCCTGTTTCAAGTCCGGACAGGACGCATTTTCATGCACGGACGGCTGTCACGGGCTGTCAATATGAAAAGTGCATGTAACGATGGAACCTTATAGGCGATTCACACGACTGGCAAATCCACGCTTGTCAGGTGCCCGTGGGTAGTGAAACGCGAGTCCGCAGTTCACACGGCCGCGAGTGACGGCCAGAGCTCCCGCTAGTATACGGCATTGCCGTGGGTATACCGTAGTGATATGGTGGCTCTCTCAGCAAACCAGTTGAAGACTACCGTACTGTCGTACGATAGTACGCCCTCTCCAACTCATACCTGTAAAAGTGCCTGCAGATGAATGCAGATTAGTGCAAAGTGCTCCTGGACAATTTTCATTCTCGCCATGTGAATCGCCTATAATCGTCAGTAAGTCTTGATAGTATTGCTTGCCGTAGCACCAGGTGTACTCGTTGCTGAAATTTCATTTGTAAATCGAAGCCACTTTGCAAGAAGAGAAGCAGCAGACCCTTATAGGCGATTCACACGACAGCCACTTTCAGGTTTTACAGCGAGTGATTCACGAGAAAAGTGACTGTGTGGATTCACACGGCTGCACTCGACGACAGGCAGGTTTGCATTTTTGAATGATTCTCCCACCAGTTGCCATGGGTATTTCAAATTTTCAAAACAAGCATATCTTGTTTCGCTATTTTTGGTGTAAATGTACTCGTGCATGCCACGATTATCATGAAAGTAGGGGCGCGTTTGGTTGGTACGAACTAGAACAGGATTCACCAGAACAGCGCGTTTGGTTGGGACTGCACCTGTTCTGGGTCGGCCAGAACATGTTCTGCTTGCTCCGGCCTCGAGGCCGAGACCGAGCAGTTTCACTTTTTCACAGTGAAACCTGGCGGGAACATCGATTTGGTCCCAAATGATCACGTGCATACGCTTTGGGGTTAGACTCGTCGTACCGTACACAGTGACCATGGTGACCCATACACATTTTGAAGAATGCACCAAGTTTGGCATATTTTTCACAAAAAATGCTCTGTTTTTGGAGTACCGTTTGGTTGGCATGAGGCTGCTCCATGTGCACCAGCTGTTCGATCCTGTTCTAGATCGTACCAACCAAACGCACCCTAGGCCTCCAGCTCGCTTGCAATTTTCAGCCACTTTCAGCCACTTTTCTCGTTCACTGATGAAATACCATAGCAGGGCTGCCACTTGCTCCGATTTTTCGGAAATCGTCCGATTTTTGATTGCCTGTCGGGCAAACCGACCGATTTTGTTCCCAAAGAGGGACAACCGATTATTTTATTTTGAGCGCTTTTTAGTCTAGTTGGCCATTCGGCGCTTCCAGGTTGCGTTTGGCCGGTCATTGTACATGTACATGTAGCTGTAAAATGCACGCGTGCTTGCATGTGTGTGGACAGTTAAAAATGTGTTCTGGGGCCCCAACAGCAAGCAATTTTCCTAAAAAATTTCACCGGGGGACACCCCCCCCCCCCCACCCCCGTCACATTTTTCTCCGTCCAAGTGTGGCAGCCCTGCCATAGCAACGTTCCGGTGCGCGTGGATTTGCCTGTCGTGTGAATCGCCTATAAAGGGTGGTTGCAAACGTTTTTCTTGTCCCTGAAACGAAAATCATTCATGAGGGGGGGGGGAGCCAAAATCGCAAGTCGACCAAAACTGTACGTATGTACATGCATGCGATTTTCATCGTCCAACAAAGCAAGCTGCGTTCATTTCAGAGGGAGGGGAGGGGATTCGAGGCTGAAATGAACGGTATTCGTTTCGGGGACGAACACACTGAATGGAAGTCTGTTTCGAAAGGAGGACGGGGAAAGAGAATATCTCTGCCGTGAGAAGAACAGTGGTTGAAGAATGAAATCTTCAGGTTGTTGTAGTGTATAGCATTGTGCATGCTCGTAAACTAAATCAGTCATTGTCTTGTCCCGCAATGGACTCCTGCCTGGCTTGCAGGCTGAATACAATGGTCGTGATCTTGGCATTTTCTAACCGCTTGTATCCGTGCAATTTCTGTGCGCGCATAGATCACTGAACATCACCCACGTGATCCGAAATATCGTGCGTCACGCACGCATTCAAAAGCAAGATGGTCGCGATGTCAAGTATTGATCATTATCCCCAGTGAAACCCCTAAAGTTGTGGGCTTCATTGACCGATGGTGGAGTTGCATAACAGGTCGCAATGTCGAGGGTTGACCATGATCCCAAGTGCCACCCATAGTGTTTAGGTTTCATTGGCCGATGGTGAAGTTGAGTAAACTGGTCTCACTTGTGATTACAGACACAGGTGTGTTTGCATTGAGCTGGTGAATGCGGCACCAATGCATGGGATGAGCAATACATGTGTACGAGTACGAGTACACTGGCGAATACCAAGCAGCCATATGAAGGACTCTTGATTCATACGACGGCCCAAACTTGTTGACTGCGAACTCCATAGATAAACTAAACTACGGCAGACAAGAGATCGGCACCAAGTGTACACAATGTGTTACTCTTTCTTGTTGGAAACACTCTGCACTTTGTGCATCGAGCACTTTGCCGGCAATGTGCCAAAAATGTACTTCTTCACAATTTGTTATACATATTCCCCTGGTATGTGTCAGGGAGATGCCAAGGCTGGGCGTGGACGTCCAAGGACATCCATTGCGACGCGCATCACAAGCGACTTACAGAGGAGGAACATCGACTTGAAGCGCAGCAGTCAGCTGGGGAATGTGAGGGCCATCGCTCTGGACAAGCCTACATGGAGAAATCTGGCCGATAATCCATGATCTGGCGTCACAGGTCATCAGTGCGCCGTGTTAATAATTATCTTGATAATGGAATTTGATCATAGGAGATAGGACAGAAGCGGAACGTATAATTATACCCACATAATTATATTATTACGCGTGCTGTGGTATTATTATTATCATTATTATTATTAAAAAGGCGACGTGGAGACAATAATCTTAATAATGCAATGAATATAACTAACGATGATGACGGTGATGGTGCAGATGGTGTGAAGGACGGTGGTGGTCAGAAACCAAGTGAAGGCAGAGGCGGTGAGAAGAAGAAGAATACATCGGCAATTAAATTGCATTTGTTGTCTAACCCCGTGTGTCGTGAAAGTTATGATGATTCTTGGTTCAGTGTTGTTCGTTCTGCAAGTAGTTTCAAGCAGTTGAAAGTTCTAGAAGCAGTCTACATTCGCATTCGTGATCCAAATCTTTGTAAACAAAAAGAAAATGTCACCGCACTTACGCTATTCCAGTAAATTCGCACTCACACACACTTGCACATGCATGTCCATTGTCACACTGCACTTGCTGAATTTCCTATCATTTCTCACCTCACCTATAGTTTATTACCTGTGCACATTGTTCCTAGGTTTGTGCTATTTTTCTTACTATGCTTGTATCCTCGCTGTTCCACTCCAAGTGTATAAATCCTATTGTAGTTTCATCATTCTCTTTAGTCACGAATTCCATTGATAATTGTGACAAGAAAACGTTCTGGAATACATGTACATGATTCGTCCCCATGGTTGTGATATGGGTGCGCATTTAGTTATATTCATTGCATTATTATTATTATTATTATTATGTGTCAGTATACATTAATTCAACACCATCCCCAATCCAGCAGAAGTCTGCTTTACCGGATTCCAGCAGAATGTAGAGGTCTGACTGTCGTTTTTTGCTGCTGCCGTCGCTGCTGTTGCTGCCGACATTGTCGCTGTTGTTGTTGCTGCTGCTGCTGTTCCTGCTGCTGCTGCTGTTCCTGCTGCTGCTGTTGCTGCTGGTGGTGTGGTTGTTTCCATCGTCGCTGCCATTGTCGCTATTACGGAGGATTAGCAAGACGAAATTCGCGTTCGCGTTCGCAAACATTTTTCGGTTCGCAAACTGGATTGCGAACTTTCGCATTTTACGTTCGGAAAAGTAGTCGGAACACGAATCGCGGATTCGTGTCAGGGCAGTCATAAATTTACCACGCTGTACTGTCTGTACAGAATGTACGTCGTGTCAAAGTCATGCATGTGAGAATTCTGTCTGCTAATCCTTCTCATAACGCGAATTCCGTCACTGAGTTCAACTTTCCTTGGAGAGCGAACGCGAATTTGTCTTGCTAATCCTCCGTATTCTCTCTTTTTTGTCTTGTGCCTCTTCCTCAGCCAAAAAGTGACTTCCAATCAGAGCTGGCAAGCAAACTAGGCCTGGCCGCAGTAGCAGCACCACGGAAAGCCAGCGGCGTCAAAGGGTCAGAGGACGATGAAGGCGATGATGATGACGACGATCACGTGAGCCAAGCTAAGCCGACGCGGAAAGCCTCCGTAAGGAAGTCTGGTGGTGGTCTTTTTGACGATGATGATGATGACGATGACGTGAGCCAAGCTAAGCCGACGCGGAAAGCCTCCGTAAGGAAGTCTGATGGTGGTTTTTTTGACGATGATGATGATGACGACGACGAAGGAGACTTGTACGCTTGTACTTGTACGGCAGTTGAAGCCAGCCGAGCAGAACCAGCAGCGGCGACAGGCAAGAAGAAACCTGCTGGTGCAGTGTCCATGTTCGGAGGCGCAGATCCGTTTGCAGCCAAGAAGAGCGTTCCGGCACGGGAGCCAGCAGATGCACCTCCGACTTACACATCCAGCAAGAAACCTGCTGGATTGTTCGACGACGATGACGACGACGATATGTTTGCTGCGCCGAAAGCGAAAAGCACAGCCGCGCCGGGCAAAGCAGTGTCAGCTGCCAGCCTGCCAAGCGAGAAAACTGGCGGTGGAGGTGGGTTGTTTGGTGGAGATGACGACGACAACGACGATATGTTTGCTGCGCTGAAAGCAAAGTCGAAAGCGGCTACGCCTGAAGATGATCTTTTCTCGGCCCCAGTTTCCGCAGGTGCTGCCTCCACGGCAGTTGAAGCCAGCCGAGCAGAACCAGCAGCGGCGACAGGCGAGAAGAAACCTGCTGGTGCAGTGTCCATGTTCGGAGGCGCAGATCCGTTTGAAGCCAAGAAGAGCGCTCCGGCACGGGAGCCAGCAGATGCACCTCCGACTAACACATCCAGCAAGAAACCTGCTGGATTGTTCGACGACGATGACGACGACGATATGTTTGCTGCGCCGAAAGCGAAAAGCACAGCCGCGCCGGGCAAAGCAGTGTCAGCTGCCAGCCTGCCAAGCAAGAAAACTAGCGGTGGAGGTGGGTTGTTTGGTGGAGATGACGACGACAACGACGATATGTTTGCTGCGCCGAAAGCAAAGTCGAAAGCAGCTACGCCTGAAGATGATCTTTTCTCGGCCCCAGTTTCTGCAGGTGCTGCCCCCACGGCAGTTGAAGCCAGCCGAGCAGAACCAGCAGCGGCGACAGGCAAGAAGAAACCTGCTGGTGCAGTGTCCATGTTCGGAGGCGCAGATCCGTTTGAAGCCAAGAAGAGCGCTCCGGCACGGGAGCCAGCTGATGGACCTCCGACTAACACATCCAGCAAGAAACCTGCTGGATTGTTCGACGACGATGACGATGACGATATGTTTGCTGCGCCGAAAGCGAAAAGCACAGCCGCGCCGGGCAAAGCAGTGTCAGCTGCCAGCCTGCCAAGCAAGAAAAATAGCGGTGGAGGTGGGTTGTTTGGTGGAGATGACGACGACAACGACGATATGTTTGCTGCGCCGAAAGCAAAGTCTAAAGCGGCTACGCCTGAAGATGATCTTTTCTCGGCCCCAGTTTCAAAATCGAGACTGAGTCAAAAGCAAAAGGACGCCATCGCCATCACATTCAAAGAACCGGGCAAACCTTTGCCGCGGAAGCAAGAAGTGCCCGCCACTGTTTCATTCGATGAACCGGCCCTGGTCAAGACGCTATCTTCGGCGACAAAGAGCCGTGCCCGTGGGCCAAGTCAACGTCCACCGCGTCGCCAGGCTTCTCGTTCATCTGCATCGGGTGAAGAGGACGATTTGGAGAAGTCACTAGGTGTCAGCGTAGTGACCGGCTCTCCGATCTCAACCATAGCCAAACCCACCGCCAGTGTTGATGAAGATGAGGACTTGTTTGCTGCAGCTCCTGTTGATGATCTGTTTGGTTCACCATCCGCTACCGCTGCGCCGTCAGCGACTGAAGCAAGTGCTTCTGCTGCTGCTGCCGCTGATGCTGGGGATGAGACAGCAGCGACAAAGAAGAAAACCAAAAAGAAGACGGCTGGTAAGAAGAAGAAATCTGCGGCCGCTGCTGCTGCAGACATCTTCGATACCGGTGCCAGTATTTTTGACGACCCGTTAGCTGGAGCTGCGAATGATGACATCTTTGCTTGATGTGTGTGTTTGGGTGTGTGTACGCGCACCTGTGTGCCTTTTTGTGTTTTCTTTTCCGCTTATGTTCTATCTTGTCCTTTGCTCGTTGTCATCCACTGTGTACATGTCGGTACGTGTACTCGTTACATGTACTTCAACTACATGTACATGTGTATACACAAGAGTGTTGATGGCTTTGCCGACTTTGTCATTTCCTTGCAGTCTGTCCCCGTGCTATTCGCTTTTACATTGATTTTTCTTTTTTCTTTCTGCTGTTGCTGCTGGTCAGCTCAGACTTATCTTTCATAGAATTATTGCTGTTTCATATAGAGCCGCCAAACACACACACACACGCTCACACTTATCAGTCTTTCATATCTCCTAGAGTTTATGTTGTTGTTTTTTTAATAAATATGTGACCTGGTTGAAAACGTTTCCTCGGTGTTCATTGTTATTTTTTGTTCCTTTAGGTTATTTTTACCAGAGATTTTCTGGAACATATTTACGCATCTGAAATGCTGTGTGCTGTATAGCATGGCCCGTGCCGTGCGTTTAAAGGGGAAGTTAAGGCAAAAATTATAATTTCACCAGTTGTAGTCTTCGGGGTGCTGAGTCGAATGGTCTTGGTCCGAGAAAGCTGAGACGCTCCCTTCCTACTTGAATCCCAATCGAACTCAGGGTTGGGATATCAGAGGAGCGCTTAACACCAGCGACTGAGTTCATCACCGACCACCACTGTTTGTCACGCAGATTACCCGCACAGAGCTTAGCCTGGACACGCCGTTCCCAAGCTAGGCGGGCCCTGTCCATCACATTTGAGGCATGGTTGACTGATTGTAAACATACCCTCAGACACACACACACACACACACACACAAACACACACACACACACACACACGCACACACCGCCTGAAACGATGCGCATTCCGACCCAGGATTCAGGGGGAAAGTGAGCCGTGGTCTTTGCACATCACGGTCGTGGTTGTTTGTGTGGACACGAGGGAGTCGTACGGTGAGTAGCTAGTCTGAACAGTATACAACTCTTATGCCGATGATTCCTCATTTGGAGGGAAATTGCGGCGTGTCAGGGAGTGGTTCGATGTTCTGCTGGCGGCAGGGCCGGCCTTTGCCGGGGTACTTCGCCGAACCAACCAAGGGTGTCTGGTGGTGAAGCCCGACTTCAAGGGTGAGGTATTTTACTGTTTCCATTCGCTTCCATGTAATTGGGCGGCACCGCCCGTTTGGTTCTGCGAATTCAAATAAAAATGTACCTACCTACCTAGGCCGACGAGATGTTTCCTGATCTGGAGGTAGAGATTACCGGCCCTGTCCAGTTTCTTCCTTGTCAGCTGCATTGGCGACCATGATGGTGTGCAGGATTACACCACACACAAGGTGCAAGTGTGGGTCGACTGCCTGGACCCCCTTGCCAATGCAGCTAAGGCTTAGCGTACAGCACCTTCACTCGGTCTCTGTCCAGTGAATGGACCTACCTCAGCGTGTTACGCCCGGCTTTGAGGAAGCTTACCTACCTTTGCGCGATGCTATCCGTCAGGTGTTTACCCCGTCCGTGATTGGCGGAGAGATCCTCGATCGGGAGCACGAGCTGTTTGCCCTTCCTGTCAAGTGTGGTGGCTTGGCCATACCAGATCCAGTGAGCACCTCTGCCCCAGCATTCGCTACATCTCACTACGCTACTGCTATAGGCTCCAGGATACGATCAAGACTGGTGGTGATGTTAACGCGACTTAACGGGAATGATCACAATGCCCATTGCCGCCAGGTCACTCTCAGCAAGAACAGAGACGTGCAGTCTGCCCAGATCTCCCTTCCACTGGGCAGCGATCGCTTTCACGCATTGTGAAAGGCAACGCTTCAGGATGGCTCACCGTTCTCCCTTTGTGTCAAGAAGGTTATGACATGTCGTCTGCACAGTTCCGGGATCAGCTCGCCATCAGATATGGGCGGGCGCAAGCCATCTTCCTGCTGAGTGTGATGGCTGCGGCGTTCGCTTCACCCTGCAGCTTGGGTTCGATTGCCACAAGGGTGGCCTGGTGAAGAAAGGCTATATCGACATCCGCGTCTCAGATGCCAGACTCGCTGAGGTAGCGTTTGGTGGTGTCCATGTTGAGCCTGTTCAAGTTCCAGAGGACTGATGAACGCCGGGAACAACTGTCCTGCCCTGCAAGCTGATTGGTCAGCCCGGGGTGTCTGGGAGGGTAGCCGGGTGGCATTGTTCGACAACCGCATCGTTGATGCTGGTGCACCCAGCTACCGCCGGTGGTCATCTTGGGAAGCCGTCGCTCAGAAAGCAGCAGAAACTGCAAGAAGAAGTATGACCAGGTGAGCGAGGCGTTGTGTGCATCGTTTACTCCTCTTGTTTGCTCCACCAATGCCGTACTTCATCACATTTGGACGTGGTAATGAGGGTGTGGAGTTTCGAGAATACTTTTAATAGTCACAAGTCCCCGGTATGATCGCCATGCATGCGCCATGGATTCGACTGCGATCACGTGTCATGTTAGAAATATCTCTCCTAAAAAAATCAACAAAACAAAAACAGTCAAAAAACTAACTACATGTACAACTAAGGCTGCGTTTACACGGAGACGAAACGAAACGAAACAAAACGAAACGAAAACGGGCTGGCCTCGAATCGTTTTCAAACCGTTTACACGAGAACGGCAGATCGTTTTGAACCGTTTACACGAAAACGGAAAACGGACGAACCGACTGGAGTTAGCACTTGCTGGCTTGCCGCAAGGGCGGGAAGTGACACGTTAGTTGGAGTTGGTACGTGCTGGTGGTCGCAAGTGTTGGGTATTTCCCGCGAAATATAGTCCCGCGCGAAATGGTTTCCATGACCGCGCTCCGTTTCCAATCGTTTTCACCGTTTGCACGAGAACGAAAGCGTTTTGAAAACGTTTTGAAAACGTTTCAAAACACTTTGAAGTGCGTTTCCATTTCGTTCCGTTTAGGTTACATTTTCGGGCGTTGTCGGTTAAACAATCGCAGTAAACGCAACGATTTCGTTCCGTTTAGGTCGTACTTCGTTGTCGTGTAAACGCAAATCGTTTCAATCGTTGTCGTGTGAACGCAGCCGAATTTACTTGTTCGAATGTTCGGCGACAAACGCCGCGGGCTCTGTTCTTGCAGGGTCCCGCAGTCTGAACTACTTGTAGGTGTTTTATCGAAGTGAAAGAATGATCCCGCCACCACCGCCAGGTCCCCCGCCTAATTTGTCTAGTGCAGCTAGTGGTGGATTTCCACCACCTCCGCTACTTCCTGCAGATGCAGGGACGAGTTCTGGACCTCCAGCACCCCCACCACTAGCTGCTCTTGAGGCTCCCTGCGCCCCTACAGCCTCAGTCCGACGTGCTGGCTCCAGCCTTTGATGTGCAATCGTGGGAAAGGCCATGGAAACCGGAGGAGATGAGAGGCAAAGTTGGAAATTGGACACTGGCAGCAGATTCTGGGCTACTGCTGTATTTAAGAGCTTTCTCCAAACGTACGACGGAGCGCATAGCAGACATGACGACGCAAATGGATGACCTGGTGACGGAATCGAAGCGTACAGAGACTATTGTAGGCCGGCTGCACAACTGTTTCAACGATTTCCTCATGTTTTTTTTTTTGTTTTTTTTCATGGAGTCACCATGGTCACAGTCTTTGTACGGTACAACGAATCCAACCCAAAAGCTCATGCACGTGATCATTTGCTCGTTATCCAGTGTTCAGTTTGTGGAGAATCGTGTGTACGACTTCGAGGAAACCAAGGATGGTAATACAGCTAGTGGTACGGCTGAGGAAAATGGCAAACCAGAAGAGGCTGCAGCTGATAAAGGTGGCGAGAGTCAACCCAAGGAGGAGAAGACCAGAGAGCAGTGTTGTATTATTATGTACGCTATCCTATAATTATGCAACCACCCGCGTGCATCTATATCTTATTGTACGCAGCTTTAATACGTCATGCACTGGTATTTGGCATGCACGCATGACCACACATTGAGCATGCTGATTCCGTTGTGCTGTTCTTTGTTTTGTTGTTCTTTTCCACTCGCTGCTCGATGGAGACTACTACAAAGTATTTATTAGAATAAACCAATACGTTTATCACAAGCAGAGAGAGGCTGAACTGATACCTCGCATCACAGCCGCACTGAAGCTCGGTATCAATGTCATGCAGAATTCTTTTGACAAGATCAATCCAGCGCAGGAGAGTAGCAAGCAGAAAGATACTAGCGGTAACGGTGGTGAAGGGGATGATGATGACGATGATGAAGAGGAGGAGAAAGCCGAGATGGAGAACATGGAGGCAATCTTCGAGCCAAAAGATCCGTATGCTTTGCGCCCTTTGCCGTACGTGATTGGTTCAGTCCAGTTCTTGCAGAGTGACGACGTTGGATTGTTACTCGCTGAGTCGGATGAATCAGGATACGAAGATGAGGAGGAGGAGGAAGAGGAAGATGATAGTGAGGCAGAGATGGAGAAGCCAATGGCGGTTGTGTCGGATGATGGGTTTTCGGACAATCTGGACAAAGATTCCGATGACAATGATTCGGAGAGTGACGAAGATGGAGTGTCGAAACCTTGTCGCGTGCGCAAAACAGTTCGCTAGTGATGACTCGAACTCGGATGAAGATAGTGATGATTGGAGTGACGAGGGCAGTAGTAAGAAAGCGCCTGCCCCTCGCGGTGGTGGAGATGACGACGATGAAGATGTCCAAGAGGCAAGTTAATCCAGAACACCTCTATGTTGTGTGTGTGTGTGTGTGTGCACGCGCGCTCGTGTGTGTGTGTGCGTGCGTGAGGGGTCGGATCTCATCTGGACTGCAGTATCTATACATAGAGATCGAACAGCTAAAGAAGGAAGGCTGAATCAACCACCCTAGTTTTGAAACATACCAGATGCTCTGGCAGAGCATCTCAGAACAATTTGTTACTTCTAGTCCAAAATTATATAAAAAATTTAATGCCGTTTCGTTCTTATAAAAGCACGGATGACCGCGATTGGTCCATATGTTGCACTAGTAGTCTTTTGGCCGCTGATTCGACTGGTTTTGGTCCGAAAAGGCTGCACTGCAGCGGTCGGCCCTTATTCCCAATCGAACACGGTTGAGTAAGAGGTCACATGCTCATAGCTCTTAAACATAGCTCTTTGTAGCCGAAGTATCAGCTCAGATTGGGAGAAAGACGAAGGCTACGTGCAGAATGTGCCAGGTGGTGAAACCAATACAGTGATGGGTTAGAATATTTGGATGTGTACGGGTCTGTGTTATATAAGCTTACGTAAGGGTGGGTAATGTGGCACGAGTACGGTTGTGCCAGGCCAGTACATAACAGTGCAATCGTGTAGTGAAAGTGCACATGTGCGAGCTGGATGGGATTCTGCTGAAAACAGCAGTGAAATTGGCAGAACCATACAAACCTTATGGCAGGCACTTCCCTCGAATTCTGCTCCCTTTCTTCATGTACATACAGTACGAGAAAAATGTACCAAATTCTGACCATGTTGTGCCTGCATCATCCGCCAATCATGACTACATCGCTTTTGG